GAAACTGAGCAAACTCAGGGAGGCAGTGAAGGACAGGAAGGCCTGGCGCAATGTGGTTCATTGGGTCACGAAGAGTCGGACACGACTTAACGACTGAACAACATCAACAAAAGCAGGAGTATGAGTCTAAATTTAGAAGGAGGAAATAAGAGTTCCTCTTTTGCTCTTTTTGCAGAAAGAATGATCTGGCAGGACAAGAGATGAAGCAACCCCAGATGGAGTCATCTCTCTTGTCAGCATGGCTGCCTTGAGGTCCTTCTTGGGAATCCCTGGTCTGCTTCAGCTGCTGTTCCTCCTGCTTCTGCAAGGTCTGGGTGAGTGTTGAGATGGGAAAGTAAATATGTTCTGTTGATCTCCAGCTGTGGTAAAATGAATACGAACACCAGACCTGCTGCTCTGAATAGTGGCATTAACAGGTTTTCATGTGGTGCTCAGTCGTGAGCCTCTTCCCCAAGGGGATCTTCCTCCATCTCCCTTCAGCCCATCCATTTGTGCTCCCCCCGCCCCCCACAATCTTATGACTGGTTCACACTTCCTCCATGCTGAGCTAAAATGGGGCCAGCTAGTTTGTGGATCAGCATGCTCTGTGTCTCTTGTTTGCCATGGTAGGTGAATGAGAACATCAAGCTAAGACAGAATATAGTTGACGTGTGTGTGCATGCATGTGAATAAATTATGGAAACACAGTTATTTATTTATTTGTTAAATTTGTATGCTGCCCATCTCCCCCAGCGGGTGACTGTAATTGTGGTTTTTAAACTCAGGTCTAACATGTTATGGGAATGCCTCCAGTGGCTGCGTTGGCATGAAACACATTCTAGATTACTGGATTAATGTAGAGTCCTTGGGGTTCTCTGAGCTTGGTTGTTTTTTTGCAGACGTTTCGTTACCCGGCTAGGTAACGTCTTCAGTGCTAGAAGGGAGTGGGGTTTGCTCCCTGTTTATACACAGCAGCTTGCCCGGCCAGTGTTGGGGGGGAGTTGTTTTCTCCTTGGTAGTTCCTAGATTAGGCTGCTGTTTACTGCTTGATCATTTGTCTGGTGCTAATCCCTGCTTATCTGGGTGTTGATTGCTGGCAAGGAGGTAGTCTGGTCTGTTTGTTTCCTTTTTATTGTCTCTTTTGAATGGTGTGTAAATGTTGTTTACCTCTATGTGTCTGTTGATGGCTGCCTTGTCTGAGTGCCAAGCTTCCGGGAATTCCCTCGCATTTTTGGATTTAGCTTGGTCTAAGATGCTGACAGTCTCCCAGTTGAAACTGTGGTTGAGTCTGTCCATGTTGTGAG